CGGAGCCGTTCAGGGTTGCATCCCCCCGGCAGAAAGGGGCCACAGGCATTACAGGGAAGGCAGACGCACGCAGCGGCCCCTTAAAATCCGCTTAAAATCACATTTGGTGGCAAATTCACGGCTTGTGCCTTCACGGCTCGATCAACGCTCGGTGCTGGGGAAGCTTCGAGGATGCAAAGATGCTCTTGGAGGAGTTAAGTTCAACCGGGAGCCATCGAGAGACATGACATAAACCGGGTCTGTGCGCGGTCAGGGACAAAACCAGGTCAGGGGGACCTGACCTGGGCGAGGGGAGATGGAAATCAGCACCAGGAGCAGGAATGGTCTCCTGGTAGGAGATCTCCTAAATCCCCCAGATCTCCTGCAGGATTTAGAAGAGAAAACTAGGAAAAATCTCACAGCAGCCCTAAGCCTGCTCCAAGACAAGACGAGGATGGGGAGGGATGCTCGAGCGACCTCCAAACCTGCCTGCACCCCAGCGGCTTTCGCTGCCAGGCGGCTCTGCCGGCAAGACGTGCCGAGCCCGGCGTGTTTGGGCTCTTTTTCTTGCCATTCACCAATATCCTTCCGTTCCCGATGTTCCTCTCCTCGGCTTTGGATGCAGATCCAGCTTTTCATGTGGTGCAAACACAGATATTTCTTTGGGTGCCAAGGACTGCGTGTAACTTGTCGGCTTGGGAGTGTTTGCATCTTGGACCATAAGGGAACAGAGAACGCTGCCCAAAATGTTTACGGTATTTTTAGGCCAAGACAAATCTGTTCGACGCTGCGAGCGCCGCAGTCTGAGCATCCCGGAGAGGCTGGGTGAGGCTGCGCTGACTAACACGGCGAGGAACCGTGCCCGCAAAACCCCAGCATTTTCACGGTGGACGGGCACTACCTGGCTCAAATGGGCCAAAAAAGGACATTTTGGCATCATTTCTAAGGCTTGTACGCAACCGTGTCCTGGCAAGAAGAGTCTCCAAAGCCCGGCGAGGGCAGGCAGGTGCTGCCGGTTACTTGGCCGTGGCTCAACGCGCTTCTGTTGCGGTGGCACCTTGGTGGGAACTGGGTGGACGACGAGGTGAAAACCTCAAGTCCAAACCCTTCCAAAAGCCACCAAAAAAAAAAAAGAAAAAGAAAAAAGCGCAAGATTTAGGAGGTAGGTTGCTTTTTGTTCCCTCCTCCACGAAATCAAAGCCCGAGCGTGCTGCCCGAGATGCACCAAAAGGATTCAAAGGCAGAAGCGGCACAGCCCGAGCCG